TGGGGTGCTGAGCAGTAGTAGTGTGGAGGCAGACAGGAATAGAGGAAGTATGCAAATACGGAGCGCAGTGCCAGGCCCATGTGTGCTCTTAGTGACGCTGGGGCAGCAGTTCCCATGAACAAAGAGGAAGGGTTAGTCACTAAAAAGAAATTAAATTTATTTATTTGTTTGAGAGATGGATGGGCACAGAGAAAGAGAGAGAGATCCCATCCGCTGGTTCACTTCACAAATGCCCATAATGACTGGGCCAAGACAGAAACCAGGAGCCAAGAACTCCGTGGCTATCTCCCACACGGATAGCAGGGACCCAACTACTTGAGCCATCACCTGCTGCCTCCCGGAGTTTCCATTAACAGAAAGCTGAAGTCAGGAGTCAGAACCAGGTATTAAGTTAATGGGCCAGTGCTGGGGCGTAGAGGGTAAAACCTCTACCTGCAGTGCCGGCATCCCATCTGGGTGCCAGTTCAAGTCCCGGCTACCCCACTTCCAGTGTAGCTCTCTGCTATGGCTGGTGAAAGCAGTAGAGGATGCCCCAAATGCTTGGACTCCTGCACCCACATGGGAGACCTGGAAGAAGCTCCTGGCTCCTGGCTTCGAATTGGCTCAGTTCTGGCAGTTGTGGCCATTTGGAGAGTGAACCAATGGAAGACCTCTTTCTTGGGGCCAGTGCTGTGCACAGTTGGTAAAACTGCCACCTATGACGCTTGCATCCCATATGGGTGCCAGTTCGAGACCCAGCTGCTCCACTTCCAATCCAGCTCTCTGCTAAGGCCTAATTAGTAGAAGACAGCCCAAGTGCTTGAGCCCCTGCACCCGCATGGGAGACCTGGAGGAAGCTCCTGGCTCCTGGCTTCAGATCAGCTCAGCTCTGGCAGTTGTGGGCCATTTGGGGCGTGAACCAGTAGATGGAAGACCTCTCTCCCTCTGTGTGTCTCTCTCTGCGGAGGAAGGCACTCACCCTGTGTCAGACACCACACTAGACCTGGCTCAGGTAATCCAATCCTCACGGCAGTCCTGCGGGGCAGTTGTTTTGATCTCCACCATCAAGATGAAGAAACCAAGGCCAGAGAGGTTAAGTTACTCGCTCAAGCAGCTGCAGTTTGTGATTGGTAGCTACACAAGTAGATAATTCCCACACCAAACCCTTGCTTGTCTGTCTACTACATCTGTGAGCTCTGCGGAGAGATGTTCCAGTTCCTTCCACCACTGATGGCTCTCCCAGGTTTCCAGATATCTCAGAGCCACCCAGGTTACCTGTGGCTCAGGGGCAGGATCCCTCTCTGCCATCCCCCTCCCATCCCCTTCGAGGATCTGTCCTTGGCCAGCCAGGTAGAGTGCCACCTCCTACTTCCTGTTGGAGAGGAATGGGCCGGCACATGCCATTCAGGACTATTGCAATCGCGGAGGGAAACTTCATTGCACAACTGAGCTCAGTTCTGGATGTGGCAAAGCCATCTGGGAATTCACAGCAGGGTGAGGGGTTAGGTGGGTAGGGGGATCCTTGCTAAACTGGCCTTACAGGATTCTTGCTGAAGGCAGGGGTAGGAGATGGGGAACTGGATGAGATGTGGAGGGTGATCACATGTCAAGGGTGGAGGGAGTCTTGCTAAACTGACTTAGCAGGATTTTTGCTGAAAACTGGACCAAGCAGGCCCAGGACAGGATGCAAGGATGGGGCCTCTGGGGTTGGCATTGTGGTGCTTGAAACGGCAGCATCTTATATTGGAGCACTGGTTCAAGTCCCAGTTGTTCCATTTCCCATCCAGTTCCCTGCTAATGTGCCTGGGAAAGTAGGAGGTGATGTCCCAAGTACTTGGATCCTTGCCACCCACATGGGAGACCCAGATAGAATTCCAGGATCCTGACCCAAACCTGGCTGTTATAGCCACTTGCATAGTGAACCAGCAGATGGAAGATTTTCCTTTCTCTCCCTATCACTCTGTCTTTCAAATTGCCACCCACCAGACCCGTGTCGTGGTGTAGTGGGTTAAGCCCAAATGGGTGCCAGTTTAATTCCTGGCTGTTGCACTTTCAATCCAGCTCCCTGCTGATGCGTCTGGGAAAGCACCAGAAATGACCAAGTACTTGGGCCTCTGCACCTACGTGGGAGACCTTGATGAAGCTCCTGACTTTGACTTGGCCCTGCCTTAGCCATTGCTACCACCTGGGGAGTGAACCACTGAATGGAAGATTCTCAGCCTTCCCTCCCCCCGTATCTCTGCCTTTCAATTAAATAAATCTTATTAAAAAAAAAAAAAAAAGGTTTACAAATTGCCACCTACGTGGGAGACCTGGACGGAATTCCAGGCTCCTGGCTTTGGCCTGGCCCAGCCCTGGCTTTTGCACCCACTTAGGGAGGGAACCAGCAGATAGAAAATCTGTGTGTGTGTGTGTCTCTCTCCGTCACTCTGCCTTTCAAATAAATTACATGTTAAAAAGAAAAAAAGCATGAGGCCTCCTTGAGAAGAGGCTGCAAGGAGCCCAGCATCTGGCCTGGGCGTCACGTCACTTCCCTGCAGACGCCAGGACAGGGGAACTGGGGACCCACAGTAACAGCTGGGGGCCTTTGCTGTGACTTCCAACAGTCAGAATTGGGCTGGCACTGGAAACCGGCCTCGGAGAAGGAATGTGCCTCTGAGACGCACCTCAGCTCCCGTGGGTAGGCAGGCAGTGTTTCCGGGGTGCCCCTGCACAGCCTCCTCTAGGAGGAGATGACCCGATCACTCATGTGCAGAAGGGGGCTGGGCCTGTCCTGTGACTCACTCGTCCCCCAGGCACTGGAACCTCCCAGCACCAACCAGCAGCTCCTTGGGGCAGAGAACGGAGTTGGCTTTTACTTTGGCTCCGGGTTTGAGTGGGGATTAGCAGATAAACAAATGGCGTTCCCCTGAGCTCATCTAAAAGTGGAGGATGTAGGTCTGGGGACACTTTAACCATTTTTATTTATTTGCATTTTATTTGAAAGGCAGGGTAAGAGAGACAGAGAAAGAGACAGAGACAGTGTGCACTCCTGGCCACTAGTTCACTCCCCAAATGCCCACAACACCCAGGGCTATTCCAGGCCAAAATCCAGGAGTCCAGAACTCCATCTGGTCTCCAAGTGGTGGGGCAGGGACCCAAGCACTTGAGCCATCACCTGCTGCTCGCAGGATGTGCATCAGCAGGAAGCAGGATGGGAAGCAGAGGGACCGTGGCTGGAAGCAGGCACTGGGATGTGGGATGCAGGTATCCCAAGCAGTGGCCTAATCGCCATGCCGCACAGCCACTCCCTGGGAGCATTTCCTTGTTTTCTCCCTCCGCTCTCTGTCTTTTCACCTCATCTTATGGACCCCAGCATCCTGCTTCCTCGGAACACACCCTGCACTGGGCTCGGGGAACCTGCTCCTGGCTGCCACTGCCCGGCTCGCCATGGAGCCAGGAGAGACCTTGACCACAGGAATCCCTGTGACCCTCACATGGGCAGAGGCTTCCTATCCATGCAGAAACCCCAGACACAGGTGCCTGCCAAGGCCTCTGCCCCAGGACTCCTCAAAGTGCATGCCATAGCCTGCCACGGGAGACAGGTGAGAGAACGCTGGTGGGCGAGAAGGGGGCGCTCTGTCCCAGTCCTGGCACCACCACAAGTAGCACTGACGTTAAGCTTTGCATAAGGTGGGGGTGATCAGACCTGGCCTGTCCCACGGGAGTCTCAGGGGCTCAGACGGGGTCATGCCTCTGAGGTGCATGCAGACAGAACCACCCCGCCCCTGCACTTCAGGCTGTGTGCCCCGTCCCGTCCCCTCCCGCAGTCCCTTCCCAGAACACTTGCACAGCATGGACGTCCTCCTTCCATGGTGGAGTGTGGACTTCCTTGTGGACTGTGCTCTCCGTTCCGGGTCTGGCTGGCCGGGCAAGGCTCGGTTGCTGCTCCCACAGGGGTTCCTGTGACCCCTGTGTTTACTGCCAACTATGGGCTCCCACTGATTGGTGACAGTCAGTTTCAGTCCTTGTGTGCAGGGCCCACCACAGTGTCATGAGGACATCTTGATGAAGCTGTTGGAGAGACAGTAGCAGCTGTCCACTTGGGTCTGGGTCTTAGCCTTGGCTATTTGCTGAGAGTGAATTGATCAGTCACGTATCTAGTCCGAGTGTCATCTTCCTCCTCTGAAATGAGGCCCAGGTGATCCTAGCTCCTGATGGTTTCTGTTCTCGGTTCATGGCCAACAGTTGTTTGGCCCCAACTTGCTCCAAGTCCAGCAGGTGCCTTGCAGGCTGTGACCCCTTCACAGCAGTGCAGCCCCCCCCCCCCCCAGCTCTTTGCTTGTTTGTGAATGCATGCGTGTACTCCAGCCGTTTCCTGCTCCCCCACCCACCCACTCATGCCGTGGTTTAGCACCTTGCCTTCCCAGATGTGTGTAACAGCTGGATCCAGGGCAGGCATCCCAGTCATGCCCAGCCTCCAAATCAATATGGGAGTCACTGGGCCTTGCATCTTATATCTTCAGCTATTTATAAACTTGTTTGACAAGCACCAAGTCCCAGGCCCCTCCTTTCCTGTCTTCTCCGATTCTGTTTCCATCCAGAAGCCTGGGGACGGATGGCGAGGCCGGAGCAAGACCTCCCCCCCCCCCCCCCGAGTAGTCCCCTGCTGTTTCCCTGGACAGGGACTGAGCTAGAGGGAAGAGAGTGCACACCCACTTCACAACTGTTTCTCCCCAGCAGCTCTGGGGCAGCCGGGGCAGCACCAGCGGTCACCAGGACAGTGATCCCTGTTCACCCGGCCCAGTGGCTGGCTATAAGCTCAGTTCCTTGCTTTACCCTATTGACCTTTGACCCTGGTCAAGTCTGTAATTGCTTCCTGCTCCCGCTTCGAAGCTACTGTGTGAGGAGGGTGAGGAGGAGGTGGACAAAGGGAAGATGGCTACCTCCGTGATTCCGCCCCCACCCCTGGCAAATTGTGCAGATTTATGAGGTCTTTGAAGCGCTGTTGACCTTGATTTCCTCTTCTTTCTCTTCCATAGGGTATGGCAGCTGGAGAGAACTGGCCAAGGCACTGGCCAGCAGGAATATCCCGGCTGTGGACCCACATCTCCAGTTCTACCGTCCCCAGAGGCTGAACCTCAAGGTGCGGGGCAGAGCCGGCCTTCTTCCCTGGGCCCCCCGCGCTCCAGCCTGTTGTCTGGGAGGCACACACCCTGGAATCCTAGCCTGGCACCCGGCATTTCCCAGCTGGGCCACTCTGGGGCTTCCGTGGGCCTTAGTCACACGGTTCAAAGTGTCCTTGTCTGAGCTGCTCCATCTCAAACTGCATGTCCTACTTTAGATTCATTTTTTATTTGAAAGGCAGAGTTAAAGAAAAAAAAAAAAAAGGAAGAGACACAGCAGGGTGGAGTGGAGAGAGAGAGACAGAGAGAAACTTCCATCCACTGGTTCACTCCCCGAGTGGCTGCAGGAGCCAGGAGCTCCATCTGGGTCTCCCATATGAGTGGCAGCATCCTAAGCCGGGGGCCGTCTTCTGCTGCCTTTCCAGGTGCAGAGAGCTGCATTAAACAGAGCAACTGGGATTAGAACCGGTGCGCACTGGGGATGCTTGTGTCACAGGCGGCAGCTTAACCTGCTGTGCCACAACACCGGCCCCTGTCCTACCTGAGAGAGGGTGCCAGCTGCAGGGAGTCAGAGATGTGGCTGACAGACCCTCTTGGCAAATAGCTGGGGCTGCAATTGGTGAAGCGCACTTCCTTGGGCCAACAGTCCCTAGTGAGGCTGATGAGGGAGACTGGGGTCCAGTTCTGTCTGAGACTGAGCCTAGAACAGAAATGGTTCTGCCTGACAGGGAGGGTTTTGGGGTGTCTCTGAGGGGCTCCCACCTGTTGGGATAAGTGAGTCATTGTGCAGGGCCTTGAGGGATAGAGAGGAAGAAGGAGTCAAGAACCTGCACACAGGGGGTCCTGATGTAGTTAGAACTTTTGTCAGGGCAAGGTTGAGAACATTCAGGAAAGCAAAAGCATGCACTGTATGGAGGTGGAGGTAACCGAGTGCAAGCCTGCCCCTTCGCAAGCTTCTGTGGGGCAGGGCCGAAACAGCCATGGTTAGCAGGAAGCTGGAATCTGGTGGCGAGCCGGGGCTGGAGCCCAGGCACTTGGCTAGGGGATGCGGGGCTCTCAGGCACTGTCTTCAGCATGTGCCCCACGCCTGCACTTGCCTGGGCCCCCGCCTGGTGTCTAGCCCTCAGGGTCTCACCCTGAGCTGCTCACCAACTTCATTCATTCTTCTTCTAGGACCAAGAAGTCGACCGAGATGGAAGCAGCAACAGGAGCTACTTGAAGTGGAACAAGCCTGTTCCCTGGCTCTCAGAGGTGAGGGACTCTCTTCTGTCCACCCTGTTCTTTGACAGAGCTGAAAAATAGTCCTTACAGGCAATTTCAGAGCGCTCCGGAAGCTTTCTTTGAATGGCTGTCATTATTGAGAGCCTTCACCCCTGGATTCTAAGCTCATTTGGCTTTCTTCCCAGAGAGGAGCACTAACATTAGCTGAAGACCTACTGCGCGCCAAGCTTTGCGTGTCGTCTCATGCCAGCTTCATGGCCCTGGAAGATAGTGTGATTCTCCTTATTTCATAGGTGGGAAAAACAAGACTGAAGAAAGTGACTTTCCTGACCACGTCAATCCCCAATTTTTCCCTCTTCTAGAAAATCAGAGACAGAGAGACAGTAGAGCCAAAGGGTGGGCATTGTGCAACAGGTTAAGCCACCTGCATTCCACTCTCATAGTGCTTGGGATCTTGGTTTAACTCTGCTTTTTTCTTTTTTTAAAGATTTATTTATTTATTTGAAAGTCAGAGTTAGAGAGAGGAGAGGCAGAGAGAGAGAGAGAGGTCTTCCATCAGATGGTTCACTCCCCAGTTGGCCACAACAGCCAGAGCTGCGCCGATCTGAAGCCAGGAGCTTCTTCCGGGTCTCCCATGGAGGTGCAGGGGCCCAAGGACTTGGGCCATCTTCTACTGCTTTCCCAGGTGCATTAGCAGAGAATTGGATCGGAAGTGGAGCAGCCAGGTCTCGAACTGGCACTGATATGGGATGCTGGCACTTCAGGCCAGGGTGTTAACCCACTGCACCACAGTGCCGGCCCCTAACTCTGCTTCTGGTCCAGTTTTCTCTTGATGGATGTCCTGGGTGGTAGCAGGTGATGACCGAAGTAGTTGGATCCCTGCCACTCATGTAGGAGACCCAGCTGGATTTCCAAGCTCCTGGCTTCAGATGTGGCTGTTGCAAGCATTTTGTGAGTGAGCTAGTGGATAGAAGGTTCTCTCTCTCTGTTTCTCTCTCTCTCTCTTTCACTCTCTCTGTCACTCTGCCTTTGAAATAAATGTACACACACACACACACACACACACAAAACAAAGCAAAAAAAAAAAAAAAAAAAAAAAAAAACACAGAGCTGTGAGTCCAGGAGCTCTGATAAGTGCGTGCAGGCGTCCCAAACAGCGATTTAACCATTGTGCCAGATACCTGCTTCCAAGCCCCAGTCTTAAAGATAAGCTCTCTAACCTGTCTTTCTTGGACCACCAGTCCCGTAAGGTTTCCGGAAGTCGTTGTTAAGAAAGTATGAAAAAGCAGCTCCATCCTGCATCCCTTTCTTGGAGATGGGTCCGAGAAGCTCTTCGGTCTGTGTAACTTGGTTTAGCTCAGCATGTCCCACGTTTATTTGCCCCTGAATTACTTTTTTCTTTTTTTTTAATTTTTATTTATTTATTTTTATTTTTTTTGACAGGCAGAGTGGACAGTGAGAGAGAGAGAGAAAGGTCTTCCTTTGCCGTTGGTTCATCCTCCAATGGCCAGCGTGCAGCGGCCGGCACACCACGCTGATCCGATGGCAGGAGCCAGGTGCTTCTCCTGGTCTCCCATGGGGTGCAGGGCCCAAGCACTTGGGCCATCCTCCACTGCACTCCCTGGCCACAGCAGAGAGCCGGCCTGGAAGAGGGGCAACCGGGACAGAATCCGGTGTGCCGGCACCGCAAGGCGGAGGATTAGCCTAGTGAGCCACGGCACCGGCCTGAATTACTTTTTTCTGTGAGACGTTATTAATATTCTCTGAAATGGGTGTCCTAAGGAAACTCTGCCTTAGAAAATTCTTGTCGGAAGTAAACGTGAGTCGAAATCATAAGCATCAAGAAAGCTTTTATCTACGGAGGCTTTGACAGCAAAGAATCGCAGGCTCAGGGAGTTGACGAGCATGCGCAGGGAGGCCTCCAGACGCTGCGTGTGCCGGGACTCCAGCGTAGCACGGTGCTTTGGCCGTGAAGGGCGTAAACTTGGTTTTCCCGGGTTACGACTCGTCTCTTAGGCTTGGGGTCTGTGGAACGGGTTCCTTTCTTGGCTGAGTGGTGTCGGCCCGCCTGTGGTCTGTTACCCATGCCCATCCCACAGCTTGAACTCTGCGGCCCGTATGGTTTTATTTCCAAATCACCCCCTTGTTCCAGGGCAGGAGTGCAGGAACAGCATTGTACTGCAGGTGATGACAGGTTATCTGCACCGTGAAGCCGCCTCCTTTTAAAACCCTGAGAGAGGCGGGGGCCCCAACACTGGCACACCTGTACCAGGTGACATCATCAGGTAATTATGCCCCACCCCACCTGGAGATAGTATGTTGAAAATGAGTGGCCTCCCTCAAAGATTATTTCGTCTGGGAATCTATATTTCTTTCTTTTAATAATACTTATCGAGTTATTTTAATAATACTTATCGAATTCTTTTAATAATACTTATTGAATCAAGTATTTTGAAAGATTGTAGCCATGTAACATTCAGTGTTTATGAATAATTTCCCCAACGTTTACGTCACTCAAGGGTATATGGATATAAATGAATATATAATAAAACAAAAATAATGAACATGTAAATACTGATTAAATAGGATTAACTTTTTAAAGAAATATTTAATATTTTAGTAAGTTTGTATGGCCTTTTAGTATAAATGAGTTGATTTCCTTTTTTAAAAAAATATTTTATTTATTTACTTGAAAGGCAGAGTTACAGAGAGGCAGAGAGAGAGAGAGAAAGCAGGAGGTCTTCCAGCCAATGATTCACTCCCCAGATGGCTGCAACCGTTGGAGCTGTGCCAATCCGAAGCCAGGAGCCAGGAGCTTCTTCTGGGTCTCCCGTGCAGGTGCAGGGGCCCAAGGACTTGGGCCATCTTCTACCACTTTCCCAGGCCATAGCAGAGAGCTGGATCAGAAGTGGAACAGCCAGGACTCAAACCAACACCCATATGAGATGCCAGCACTGCAGGCGGTGGCTTTTACCTGCTGTGCCACAGCGCCGGCCCCTTTTTGTTTGTTTCTGACAGAGACAGGTGGCACTCTTATCCACTGGTTCACTCCCCAGCTGTCCCAGCCAGCTACGGCTGAGGTCAAAGACAGCAGCTGGGTGCTCAGTCCAGGTCTCCCACGTGGGTGGCAGAGACCCAGTTCCTTGAGCCATCACTGCTGCCTTTCAGGGTCTACATTAGCAGAAAGCCAGAGTCAGGAGTTGGAGGTGGGACTTGAACCCAGACACCCCAATAGGGGACATGGTCATCTCAACCAGTGACTTAACCACTAGGACAAATGCCTCTGCCTTAATTTGCTTTTGGTTGTTAGTTTTAATAGGAAAGGTAGCTTCTAAAATCATTATTTTAGCCCTCATGGATCCTTAGGGATGTGCTGACCAGTCTTGTTATTTGCCCAAAAGGAGAATAAGGCCTCGGGAGGTTAAATCAAAAAGTCACACAGCTGAACAGGGCCCACTCGCTCTCCGCCCAGCCTCGGGGTCCCTCCACACCCTGTGGCCTCTCTCTTCCCATCTCCTTACCTGTCTGCTGCCTGTGGACACACAGTTTCTGTGGCAACATCCCAGGTTACCAGTGTAGGTCTTTGATTGAACACCTGCCAGCTGTCAGTGCTCTCATGGCCCTTTTCAGAGAGGCTAACGTGCTGCTGCTGCTGCCGCCGCACCATCGCAGAGTTGTCTGGGAGCCCAGCTGTGAAGGTGAGCCAGGGCAGAATCTGCAACAGACAGTGACAGTCTCTTGTTTCCGGGTTTCCTTTCCCCGGGCTTTGGCTGGCAGCTCAGTGTCCCTGAGGCTAGAACTTGCTCTCAAAGGCCCAGCAGAGGTGGCCCGGGCGTCTTGCAGTAGCCGACTCAAATCCTAAGATCGCGAACATCCACCAGTGGCAATCTGTTACCTGAGCGTTGACTAAAGCATCCCTCTCCCAAAGGACCAAAATACAAGAGCACTTCAAAAAGTTTGTGGAAATGGAAAGAAAAGACAAGTTTATTTGGGTGCAAAAATCCACGCATTTAAGGGGCCTTCATAAAGATCACGGAAAAACGCATATTATGAAAGAAATAGGCATGGATTTCAAAAGTTTTTTCCCCAAATAAACTTATCTTTTAATTGCATTTTCCTTTTTTTTTTTTTTAAAGATTTATTTATTTATTTGAAAGTCAGAGTTACACAGAGAGAGAAGGAAAGGCAGAGAGAGAGGGAGAGAGGTCGTACATCTGCTGTTGCTGTAGATTCGTTCCTGAGAGGAAGAGCATGGTGGGGGCAAGAGGTGCGGAGTCACCACACAGACCCAGGGAACCCGATGAAAGCAGGCCTGAGGCAAGCAGCCTGCAGACTCATTTATTTCAGTTGCTACAGCTGCTTATATAGCCAAAGCAGCCAATCTGGTCAAGGGGCGGTCTATGCCCTAACCAATCACAGCCTGTTGCCAGGCAGTTTCCAAAGCCATCTAATCACAGCCTGTTGCCAGTCAGGCTCTGTTGCTAGGCAGTTTCTGTTGCCAGCGGCCATCTTGGCATGATCTCATACCACCACAATCCGCTGGTTCACTCCCCAGTTGGCCGCAATGGCCTGAACTACGCTGATCCAAAGCTAGCAGCTTCTTCACGTGGGTGCAGGGGCCCAGGGACTTGGGCCATCTTCTACTGCTTTCCCTGGCCATAGCAGAGAGCTGGATAGGAAGTGGATCAGTCGGGATGTGAACCAGTTCCCATATAGGATACCGGCACTGCAAGCAGTGGCTTTTACCTGCTATACCACAACGCCAACCCATAATTGCATCTTTCTACAAAGTACTCTATAAGGAGGAAATTTGATGAGCGCAAAGCCAGATCAGAGAGCACCTCTAAAGATTTATTTTGTTTATTTGAAAGCCAGAGTTACAGAGAGAGAAGGAGAGACAAAGAGAGAAGAGATCTTCCATCTGCTGGTTCACTCTCAAATGGCCACAATGAGCCTGGACCTCCATCCACACTCCATGTGGGCGCAGGGGCCCAAGCACTTGGGCCACCTTCTGCTGCTTTCCCAGGACATTAGCAGGCAGCAGGATTGGAAGCAGAGCAGCTGGGACTCGAATCCACACTCTAATATTGGATGCTAGCATCACATGTGGCAGCTAACCACATGCTCCCCCATACATTTTTTAAAAAGATTTCTTTATTTATTTGAAATGCAGAGATACACAGAAAGAGAGAGATCTTCCATCTGCTGGTTCACTCCCCAGATGGCCACAATGGCTGGGGCTGGGAGCCAGGAGCTTACTCCGGGTGCAGGGGCCCAAGCACTTGGGCCATCTTCTGCTCTTTCCCAGGCATATTAGGAGGGAAGTGGATCCGAAGTGGAACAGCCAGTACTTGAACTGGCACCCATATGGTGTGCCAGCATTGCAGGTAGAGGTTTAACCCACTATGCCATGGCGCTCCCCCTCCCCCCCATACATTTTTTAAGATTTATTTATTTGAAATTCAGAGTTACACAGAGAGAGAAGGAGAGGCGGCGGGGGGGGGGGGAGGTCTTCCATCCGCTGGTTCACTCCCCAATTTGCCGCAATGGCTGGAGCTGTGCTGATCCGAAGCCAGGAGCAGGAGCTTCCTCCGGGTCTCCCATGTGGGTGCAGGGGCCCAAGTACTTGGGCCATCTACTGCTTTCCCAGGCCACAGCAGAGAGCTGGATAGGAAGTGGAGCATCTGGGCCTCGAACCAGTGCCCATATGGGGTGCCAGCACTGCAGGCAGTAGTTTAACCTGCTACGCCATAGTGCCGCCAACCGCCCCCCCACCACCACCCAGTACATTTTTTTAAAAAGAGCAAATTGAGTTCCCTGAAGCTCCGGCTGGAATCTAGTGCATAGGAAGCTGCGGCCTGATCGCCCCACTGGGCTGAGTGTGTGTGCTCCAGCTTCCTGCACTCCTCCAGGCCCCGGCCTTGGTGTCTGGGGAGCTAAACGCCCAGCCACGTGTGCTGGTCCTGGGAGTTTAACCTGTTAGAGCTGTGGCGTGTCGTAGGGGGGGATCTCAGGGCTCACATCCTTTGATGGGCTTCTCTCTTCCACTGGAGGTGGAGCTGCCCTCAGCTCCTCCCACCTCTGCTGCAGCCCCTGGACAGGTGACAGCCATCTGGGAACATGTCTCTTCCATCTTCAATTGAGACTGAGCAGATGCTCGGTGCTTACAGAGCAGATGGACTGTGCTGTTCTGTTCTTGGCTTCTGCAAGCATTTGTTCCTTCAAATCAGAGGTGCAGTGCACGTGGCAGAGGGAGCTGTCAGCTTTGCCTGGGGAAGTCAGAGAGGCCTCCGAGAGAGACTCCAGAGGCTCGACGGCCGAGCGGGAAAGGACTGGGCCCGGGAACCGCTCTGTAAAGCCCTGAGAAGGGACAGAGCGTGGCAGCCTGGGCAAAGGCCGGGTTTTGTGTTTGGCCGGGGTAGCGCGCAGGTGTGCAGTGGGCAGGGCTTGAGGTGAGGCTGGGAAGGTGGGTGAGCCAGGGGAGACTTCCTGTGCCCGGCGGGGTCTTGCTCTAGGCTGGTTGGGGGCCTTTCTGAACTTTCCCAGAATGACTTGCTCAAGTCTGTGTTTCACGGCCGTTCTGGGGGCAGAGGGAGGCCTGGATGCAGGGAGAAGCAGGGGCCCAGTTAGTGAGAGGCTCAGCTGCAGGCCTGGCAGAGTGGGGTCCCGCAGCCGGCCTCCCTTCCTGATCCCCACTCCCGTCTTGCTTCTGTTGGTTCACCCCCCAAATGGCTGCTACGGCCGGTGCGCTGTGCCAATCCAAAGCCAGGAGCCAGGTGCTTCCTCCTCCCATGCAGGTGCAGGGCCCAAGCACTTGGGCCATCCTCCACTGCCTTCCCGGGCCACAGCAGAGAGCTGACTGGAAGAGGAGCAACAGGGACAGAATCCAGCGCCCCGACCGGGACAAGAACCCGGGGTGCCAGCGCCGCAGGTGGAGGGTTAGCCTAGTGAGCCGCAGCACCGGCCTTCTCCATCGCTTCTAACTAGCAGTTCCCAAACTGTCCTTGGCCACGCGCGGCCCTAGTGCTGGGAGCATCCCCTGCCATTCCCTGGCCCTAGTCCTCCTGGGCCCGGAGGGAGTGGGCAGAGTAAGGTGCTGACATGCAGGAGTTCCTGTCCCTGCCAGACACGGGCTCCGGAACTTGGAGGGGCACCAATCCCGGGGGTCGCCAGGCCAGGCCTGCAGGGAGCAGGGTGCCCCTGGTTCGCGAGACCCTTTGCCCGCCACCTGGGGCTGCCCTACAGCTGGGCCAGTGCCTAGGCCCCAGAGGACCGGGCTGGTTCCCTGACAGCAACACAGCCTCTTGTTCCTACAGCAAGAAAGCCCCCGCCCCCACACCCACACCATGGAGGCAGGCAGCCCTCGCCCAGCCTCACCCCATTGCCCCATCCCTGCCCATGCCCCTTGGCCTCCAGGCGGAGTACACAGACTTCTCTGGCGACTGACCCTCTCCCGCCCAGCTCCCTGCTCCCGGGAGTGGGGGAGAGGCCATTTGTAGGAGACAACCGCGTCTTGTGCGCTGGACTTGAGGAATTTGCCCAGAAGTAGCACAATGGCCCCATTCTTCCTTGTGGCCTTAATGCGCCCCCGCCCACCCAGCCCCCCACTCCTGTTCCTGTGAGTGGGGCCGCATGCCTAGCACCCAGCCAGCCAGCCGGTGTGCCCAGGAAGTGACACGTGGCTGAAGGGGCCGGGAGTGACAGGCCCCCCAGGGCCTCTTCCAGACCCAGCTGTGAGCAGTGGTCCCGAGGCTGTGCGGCCACAGCAGCCACACCTCACGTGGTTGCGGCTCCCAACTAGGAGTTCCCCCTCCCCCTACACGTGCACCCCCAAGACGTCCTGCTGAAGACCTGGGCCGGTCATTCTACCTGGGCTCCAATCCCTGTGCCCCTTCCCCCTTGGCCAGCTTTCCGAGGGGCAGTGCGGCTCTGACACCTGCTGGACCCTGGTGGGGAGAAGGGCGGGGCCTGTCTGCAAAGAGTCACAAGGCGCCACCTCCCACGACCTGGCTGTTGGGCTCCCGGGCTGAGTTGGGGTAACCAGAAACTCATTGTCTGGGTTCTGCGGGGACAGCGCCCCAGGCTCCCTTCTGCAAGTGCAGCCCTTCTCTCCTCCCAGAACCCTGGCACCTGCCTTAGCCCTTCCTTCTCAAGGGGCCTCTGCCCCAGGCCTCCAAGCGCAGTCCTGCCCCCATCAATGCTGCTGTGTCAGGAGGGGACAGGGGCTTCCTCCAGTCCCTAGGCTGCCTGCAGCGGAGGCCCGCTGGTCAAGGGAGGCCACTGAGCCTGGGCAGCCCAGCCAGGCCCCAGGGATGTCCTGCAGCAAGGTGTCAGCGGCTTCCCCAATGCAGGAGTAGGAGGCCCCCCTCCCCCCGCACAGCTGCGGCTTCACCAGCAGACGGCTGTGGGCCACAGAGAAGGGGCAGGAGGAGAGCTAGGCCTTAGCTGAGCATCCAGCACAGCTCTGCCTTCTGGTTCTCCGTGTGCCTGCAGTTCTGTTCTGGCTGCACCCACCATCCCCTGGGAAAGGCCAGCCAGCCCCCTCCCCACACGGAGAAGCAGCAAATGTGCGTGTGTGTCTGTGTGTGTGCGCCCAGGCACATGGGTGTGCATGGCGAGGAAACAGACTGCATCCTCGGGGCCAGGCCACGGAGGTGGACATCGGTGCCAGGGCCCCGGGAAGCAGCTTTGGGCGCCAGGATGGGAGCGGACTGCCTGGGCCGCGCCTGTGCGGGAGACGCGCACCGGGGAGCGCCAGGGGCAGGTCTGGGGCGCCCACCCTCTCCCACTTTCTCTTCCCGTACAGTTCCGGGGTCGGGCCAACCTGCACGTGTTCGAGGACTGGTGTGGCAGCTCCATCCAGCAGCTCAGGAGGAACCTGCACTTCCCACTGTACCCCCACGTGAGTGCCCACTCGGCCGCCTCGCCCCTCCTTTCTGTCTCGCTCAGCTTTCCTTGCTGCTGTTCTGGTCCATCTCGCCTTCTTTATGTTGAGGTTCCCCTGCCCATCATAGCCCCCTTGCTCCTTCCCCAGGGATTCTTTCAGTCCTGCGTCACTCCCGTGTTAGGCTGTCTTTGTGCCTCATGACAATGGGCTACAGTTGTGCTGGTCGTGCACTGTACAAAGTCCCTTGGGTGCAGAGACAGGTGGGAGCTGAAATCCACTCTGGTCCCTCCTGGGCTTGCTGCCAGTCCTGAGCGCACTGACATCTTTGGCTTCTCTTCCCTCTTCTGAGTGACGGTTCTCTTGGTACAGATCCGCACGACCCTGAGGAAGCTGGCTGTGTCCCCCAAATGGACCAACTACGGCCTCCGCATCTTTGGCTACCTGCACCCCTTCACTGACGGTGAGGCCGGCCCCGAAGCCCCGTTCTTCCTGCTGCTGCACAGCCGTGCAGGGCACGGGAGCCTGCAGCTGGGAATAAGCCTGGGCGGCCCAGCGCCTAGAGTTACCTCTTTGGGGCGCGGTCTGGCAGCGGCTCCCCCGTGCGAGGCCTCGCGCCCCTCCACGCGGTCTTCCCGGGTGTAGAAAGCCCCACTTCACAGAGAGGGAGGTCGCGGCCCTGTCTGCCGGGCCCTTCTCGCCTCACCTGGACACTGTCCCCGTGTGCCCAGGGACAGTCCAGTTTGCCATCGCTGCAGACGACAACGCCGAGTTCTGGCTGAGCCATGACGACCAGGTTACAGGCCTTCAGCTGCTGGCCAGTGTGGGCAAGGTAGGCCCGGCTGGGCCCCAGGAGCCTCTGCCGGGAAACCGGGGACGAAGCTGTGTCCCTCCTCCCCGCCGGCCCCTGTGCTGCCAAGGTGTGCCAGGAGCCCCAGGCTGGGGCGCCGGCCTCGTCCATCTCTGGGGCCCTGCAGTCTTCAGCGTGCACGCTGTGGGCTGCGGGGCCGGGGCCCTCTAGCAAGGGGTTGGGGGTGCCTCTTGCTGAGACCGGCCCCCTGCTCACCTCCCGCCTCTCTGTCTTCCTCTCTCCCTTCCCACGGTCCTCCTGCTCTTCTCACTCTCCTCTCTTCCTCCCGTGCTTCTGCTGCTCCTCTCCCTGTTGCTCCCCACTCTAGACTGGAAAGGAGTGGACCGCCCCTGGAGAGTTTGGGAAATTTCGGAGTCAAATTTCCAAGCCGGTGAGGTGAGAAGGGTGCATTTTTGCGAGCACCTGGGGTGCTGAGTCCAGTCCGGGCGAGGGAGCCCTAAGGCTTCCTGCAGCAGAAGCTCAGCGTCCCTGGAAACCATCTGGCCTGCCCCTTGTCACTTTACAGAGGAGCACGCTGCGAACTGAGACCCAAGGAGGGGCGTGCCTCAGGGCAGGTCACACAGCTAGCCGTCCCGGGACACTCAGGTCTGGGAACCAGGGCTCCTTTCCCCTGCTCCTCCATGCCTAGAACAGCCTGGACACGGGCCACAGGGAACTGTAGGAATGACCTCCTAGCAGCCATCCCCTGAATGGACAGGCCCCCAGGATCGCTTGGACTGGTTGGAAAAGGGACCTTAACCCAGTGTCAGAGCGCCACCTGGTGGGTGGCATGCATACACCCCCTACACAAGGGCAGGGGGTTCCCCTGAGACAACCTAGCCTGCAAAGGGTTTGGGAAGCAGTAGTGTTGCAGTGAGCACTGTCCAGGTCACTCCCACCACTTATGGCCCATGTGACTTGCAGCAAATTACCCAAGATTTCCGTGCCTCCGTCTTCTTGTTTATCATGGCAACTACTCAGTTAGAGTTAAGGTTACTGTGGTCTCCCTGTGGCTACCGCACCTGACAGAAGGTCACACTGGCAGAGAGGGGCCCCCAGCCCACACGCGGGTGTGGCAGGCTCCTGGGGAAGGGACAGACATGGGGGATGGCGCCGGCGAGCCCGTGTCTCTGCTCTCTCCTGCCAGCCTGTCAGCCTCACACAGGTACTACTTTGAGGTACTGCACAAGCAGAATGACCAGGGTACTGACCACGTGGAGGTTGCGGTGAGTGCCCCCTGCTGTTCCCTATCCAAGCTCCGGGAATCCTCAGTGAAATCAGCTGCCTCCAACCTCGCTCGTCCACCCTGTCTCCTTACAGTGGCGGAGGAGCGACCCCGGGGCCAAGTTCACCATCATTGACTCCCCTTCCCTGTCCCTCTTCACAAGTGAGTAGGTGCTGCCTGGCCTGCAGCACACGGGCTCACCGTGAGCCCCCTGGGTGGATGCTCGGGGTGAGGTGGCAGCACTGGGGGCGCTTGGGTGGGGTGAGGAGCAGGGCGGGACCTGAAGGTCATGGGTCTTTAGCTCTCTGGGGTCAGCGATGCCTTTGAGAACCTGCTGGAAGCTCTCTGAGCCCTCAGCAAAGTGCACCTGTCCACGAGCACCACCTCCCCAAGTCTTGCAAACAGTTTTGGGGGTGCAGAGCCCATGCAGCAAATCCCCTGCCTCCCGACGAGGCGGCCGTGGTTCTCAGAGCAGAGGAGAGCGGACTTCCTCACCAGCTCCACGTCTGCAGGAGGACTCCCCCATCGGGCTTACATCGGCCCATTTTCTCACACTCCTGTCTGAAGGTGAAAACCGGCACCCAGAGGGGACAGATGTGGGAAGAGCCAGCAGGGCCAGAACTCCCCACCCCCCGGAGAGGGTCAGGAGCGAGTGCAGGAGGCTGGAGAGACCAGGGAGGGCTTGTGTTGGAAGGAAGCGAGGACAGGGGCCGGCACTGTGGCGCATGGATTAAGCCACTGCCTATGCCACTGGCATCCCATAAGGGCATTGATTTGAGACCCAGCTGCTCCACTTCCAATCCAGCTCTCTGCTATGGCCTGGGAAATCAGCAGCAGATGGCCCAGATACTTGGGCCTCTGCACCCATGTGGGAGACCCGGAACAAGCTCCTGGCTCCTGGCTTTAGCCTGGCCCAGACTCAGCCATTGCAGCCATTTGGGGAGTGGACCAGCAGATGGAAGATCTCTTTCTGCCTCTCCCTCTGGAGTCTGAAATACTAACACATCTGAAGCTTTGGGGCCTTCTGTGCTCAACCAATAAGATCTAGGCGAATATCCCCAAATCCAAAAAACTGAAATCTGAAACACTGCTGATTCCATGCGTTTTGGGGAAGGAATACTCGGCTATATGCAAGTCAGATGGTTTCGAAGGCTAAATGGATAAATGTGTGTAAGGTACCAGAACAGTGCTCAGCTTATTATTTAGTGAGTGCTAAGTTTTAAATAAACTAAATTCAAAAGGGGTCTTCAGAAAGCTTATGGGAAATTGAATTAAAAGATGGATTTATTTTGATGCAAGCAGTTATATGAGGGGTTCTGTGGGAGGAGCAGGTCCTCAACCTGGGGGTAGGAGGCCCCACCCACACCCTAGTGTCTGAGTTCACTTCCCGGCTCTGGCTCCTGACTCCAGCTTCCTGCCAGTGCGGGCCCTAGGAGGCAGTAGTGAGGGCTCAGATAACTGGGGCCCTGCCTCCCAGCTCAGCTGTGGCTGTTGCAGGCATTTGGGAATTGAACCAGCAGAGGCGAGGCTCTCTGTCTCTCTCTCCCTTTCTACCTAAAAAGAAGAGTACATGCAAAATGCATATTATGGAAAAGGCTATGCATGATTTCCTATGTCTTTTTTGTTTATTTGTTTTGCACCAAAATAAACTCATCTTTTAATCCCATTCTCCACAAACATTTTGAGGTCTGCTCATACTAAGAGCGGTAACTTTCTCATCAATAGCAGCAAGAGGAAGAGGTGTCCTTTTCCAGGTTATGCAGATTCTGATGTCGGCCTGCCATCCAGCCAGGAGCCAGGGGTGGGAGGGAAGCAAACAGCTGGATGCCAGGCAGGGCGGGCGGGGACGGGACGTGTCCTTGCGCCTCCTGCCGCGGTGGCCACCCCGTGCCCGAGTCTCTTCTCTCATTCCTCAGAATCAGGGCCTGGTTCTCAGCTGGGTTCGCTCCGAGACTCACGGCTTCCTCTGCTCTTCCCTCCCGGGCTCAGATGAGACGGTCCTCAAGATGGATGAGGTGGGCCACATCCCACAGACAGCAGCCAGCCACGCAGGCTCAGCCGACTCCCACCCCCGAGACGAGCAGCCCCCCGCTGACATGCTGCGGCCCGACCCCCGCGACACCCTCTATCAAGGTGAGGCGCCGGCCATGCACTGGTCCTCGCGGCCAGGGGACAGTTGGAGAAGACTAGGGAGACCTGCTGCTTCCGCACAGTATCCCAGAAGCCGCGGGACCTTTTCGCCCTTGTGGTGTCAAATGTAGACGGGTACAGAAATGTGCCACCATGTTCATGTACCGCTTTATGGTTCTACAGATCCTTCTAGTGAGATCTGTGTGGCACCAGACAGCGCAGAAGGAGCTGGAAGCCACATGCTTGCCATACGTCCCTGGCCTGTCTTGGTCTAGACCCACTGGATTCCAGTCTTCGTCCTTCACTGATAATAAAAGACAGGCATATTTATGGGGGCACCATGTGACGTTTTGATTTGTGGATTCCTCTCTTGTCATTCACTGACAGAAACATGTTGGAACTTACTAAGGTGTTTGAGTGTAATCCTCTTTTTATTTTTTTTTTTCCCTATTGGAAGAGCAAAGAGACAGAGAGACAGACCAACAGAGAGATCTCCCATCTGCTGGTTTACTCCCCAAATACCCAGAAAGCCAAGAACCTAAACACCATCTGGGTCTCCCATGTGGGTGACAGGGACTCACATACTTGAGCCGTCACCCACTGACTCCCAGGGTGCGTATTAGCAGGAAGCAGGAATTCAGAGCGGAGCCAGGACTTAAACCCAGGCACTCTGAATGATAGGGGCGCACATATATCGTGTCTTAGGCATCTGCCCCTGGTGTGTCATTCCTCTGGGGAGTGTTTACATTTTAAGCAGTGACAGGGTGCCTCTATTTTCCCCCTCGGGCTAAAGACAGCTGGAGGATAGGAAGAGCTCATCTGGGGAGGGACATCTGGTTATCAGTGCTGCGCAGGCCAGAGCCCATGGTCTCTTGGAAGTTTCTAGACCTCCCCGAGCTGTCCCTCTCCAGTGATCCCAGAGTCGTGCTGTGTCTCGTGCCAGGGACCAACCACATCCTGAGCCCTCTGCACCGGGGTGCTCTCTAAATGCCCTCCTTCCCTCTGACAAGAAGAGCAGTGCCAGTGTGTTGGGCAGCCTTGGCTGGTGGATGCCCACTCTGACAGCGGCTGTCACCAGTGAACAGGACAGGCAGCCCCTCAGCCTCTGGGGCAGGCCCAGGGGCAGGCTCTCACTTGCACCCTCGTTCCTCTTCCCCCACTGTCCTCAGTGCCTCTGATCCCCAAGTCTCACCTCCGCCACGTGCTGCCTGATTGTCCCTACAAACCCAGCTACCTGGTGGATGGGCTCCCCCTGCAGCGATACCAGGGACTCCGGTTTGTAAGTCTTGGGCCCGGGTAGCTCCCTGGGCTGGGAAGGGACTGCTCTGCAGAGCCCAAGGGTGGGGGGGCTGTGGTCTCAGGACAATTCTCCCCCAGGCACTGCACCTCTGCCCCACCAGGGAGGCTGGGAGGCAGCCCGCTGCTCACTGCCACCAACCCCAGCCACCAGTATTTATTCAACTCGCCATCCAGGCACCAGGGGCAGGAGGGGGATGAACAGTGTGGGTGGGGGGGAAGGGTAGCTTCAGAGAGGCTCTGGGCTGTGTGGGGACCGGAGAGACAGGTGGACACTTACAGAGACCGCAAGGTGGGGCTGGAGGCAGGAGTCACTGCCTGGCCAGAGCAGGTGGGGTATAATTGAGAAGGTCCCAGTGGAGGTGACCTTGAGCTGTGTTCAAGGGGGATGAAGGGAGCAGCAGGGTGGTAACCAGGAGGGGCGGTGCCTGGGCTGAGGAAGGAGGGAGCCATGAGGGCTGTGAGCTGGGACAAGAGAGGAAGCCGTGGGTGCCATGGGGCTAGGTTCAGCTGTGTTTGGTCCAGAGAGCTCACAGGTGGGCTGGAAGCCTGGGCCCCTCACCATGCATGATCCCGGCCAAGGGCAGGCTTCTCCCTGGCTGAATGGTTTCTTACTGCTGCTGCTGCTGTCCCCACTTGCAGGTGCACCTGTCCTTTGTGTACCCCAATGACTACACTCGCCTGAGCCACATGGAGACCCACAACAAATGCTTCTATCAGGAAAACGCCTACTACCAGGACAGGTGAGTGGGCACACGGCCGTGCCAGGGGCTGCCTGGGCTGGAGTGGCCACCTGTGCCCTCCCCCTCCCAAGCAGCCTCTGCTATAACTGTACTTCACCTATAGACGCACCCTCACTCCCACTGCAGCCCAGAATGAGCCTGCACGCTGCCGGGTGCCAACCCCTTCCTCTTTCCCCCTGCAGGTTCAGCTTTCAGGACTACATCAAGATCGACCAGCCTGAGAAGCAGGGACTGGAGCGGCCAGGTATGGCAGACGTGGATGGAAGCTCCCGGGTCAGGCTGGGAGGGGCACGGCCACCTGCTCTTAGGGGAGTGCAGACTGTGCCAGCTCTGTCCCATGGGGCTTCAGATCTAAATCACACCCAGTCCCCAAACCCAGTGCACATAGAAAATGACACTGCCTTTGCCAGCATGCTGGGGTCAGCTGCAGGAGCCTCTGCTGGCTGCCCGAGCGGCTTGCTGGCCCTGGCTCTGGCCCAGCATTTGGGCAGCTGTGCTACGGGGAAGCACTGGTCTCCTGGCCTCTCTCGTGGAGGGATGGATGCTGCTTGGTCTTCAGAGCAACCCTAGGAAAGATGAATTTTTATACCTTTGATGCAGGTGAAGAAGCTGGATTGATGGAGGCTGAGTTTGCCCAAGGTAACGCACGCAGTACGTGGCAGAGTCTGGGAATCCTCCATGTGTCGCACACAGTCCTTCCACTGTCTTGGGCATCTTGTTGGGAAAAGGATGAAAACCGGGGCAGGCTTTGGCTTCGTGGTTAAGACACTGGCATCCCCTATCTGGGGGCCTGGGTTTGGGTTCCAGAGCTGCTCCCAATTCCAGCTTCCCCATGGTGTGCACTCTGGGAGGCACAGTGATGGCTCAGGCACTTGGGCCCCTGCCATCCACCTGGGAGACCTGGTTGGAGTTCCAGGCTCCCGGCGTCAGTCTGGCTCAGCCTTGGCTGTGCAAGCATCGAGGAGTGAACCAACAGATAGGAGGTCCCTCTTCATCTGTCTTTGTCTTTCTACCTTTCAAATAAATTAAAAATGTTTCGGCCGGTGCCATGGCTCACTAGGCTAATCCTCCGCCTTGCAGCACCGGCATACCAGGTTCTAGTCCCGGTTGGGGCACCGGATTCTGTCCCGGTTGCCCTTCTTCCAGGCCAGCTCTCTGTTGTGGCCAGGGAGTGCAGTGGAGGATGGCCCAAGTGCTTGGGCCCTGCACCCCATGGGAGACCAGGAGAAGCACCTGGCTCCTGCCTTCGGAACAGTGCGGTGTGCCGGCCTCAGTGCACCGGCCGCGGCGGCCATTGGAGGGTGAACCAACAGCAAAGGAAGACCTTTCTCTCTGTCTCTCTCCCACTGTCCACTCTGCCTGTCCAAAAAAAAGTTTCTAAAAGTTTGAAAACTGCTGATGTGAGGAATGGTTATCATGAACAGGTTTGGAGGAGGACCTTCTAGAAGAATCCCAGTATGAAGACGTGGCAGAGGAGACCCCTGCCTCCAATGCTCGGCATACCGCGATGCCAGAGGGCAAAGAGACACCTGCCGCCAGCCCCGAGCAGGAGGCCACGGACTACCGGCTCCGGAGCCTGCGGAAGCTCCTGGGCCAGCCCCAAGCCGGCCTGCTGGCTCCCTTCTCCAAGCGGAACTCCACGCCCTTCCTGGGGAGGCCTGGGGACCTCCGGGCCCAACTACCCCAGGAGAGGAAGAGGAGACCCCGCCCCGCGCCTAGCCCCGGCTCGCCTCCCGCGGACAGGTGGCCCCCGGGGCACATGGCACGGAGCCTGCCTCAGAGGAAGAGGCCCAGGCCCACCGCGGCCAGCCCCGGGAAGATGCTCGGGCAGGCCCAGTGGCTGAGTCAGGTGGAGTCGTACATTGCAGAGCAGAGGCGGGGTGACGGGGCAGAGCCGCAGGCCCCCGGGCCGGCTTGGCGCGGGGAGGAGCCGGTGGTGGCCGCTGCTGGCTTGGAAGAGCAGACCGAGGCGGAGGAAGAGGGGGAAGCGGAGGAGGAGGAGGAAGAGGAGATGAGTGAGGTGTTTGAATACGTGCCGGTGTTTGACCCGGTGGTCAACTGGGACCAGACCTTCAGTGCCCGCAACCTTGACTTCCAAGCCCTGAGGACCGACTGGATCGACCTGAACTGTAACACATCCGGCAACCTGCTGCTCCCGGAGCCCGAGGCGCTCGAGGTGGCGCGCGTCTTCCTGAAGCGGCTCAACCAGCGGAGCCGGGGGTAAGGTAAAGGGCTCTCCTGGCTGGGCAGCGCCCGGGCCCCTCAGCTGCGTGTCCCTCCTGCAGGCGGCTGCGGCTGTCCCTCAGCCTTGGGGGGTGTGGTCCCTTCGCAGTGAAGAGAAGAACCGGGTGAAGCCGAGGTGCGAAGCCCAGGCAGCCCCCAGCTGTGGGCTAGAAGGGCTGGGAATGGACAGGACCTAGAGCTCTCGTTTCCTATTCATTCATTCATTCATTCAGGCAGGCAGACAGCACTCTTTAGAGTAAATTCATTGACTTGAAATCCATATTTTAGAGTGCACAATTCAGTGCACTTGGAAGTATGGTCGGAGCCTTGTAACCATCACCGCTAAGTCCGGAACGTTCTGTCCCCTCCAGAAGCCTTTCCAAACTCAGTGGTTACTTCCCATTGCCCCTCCCTTCCAGGCCCTGGGAACCCATACCTTGCTCTCTTGATCGATTCTGGACACCTTGGGTCAGATGAATTAAAGGCACTTGTGTGCCCTTCTGTGCCTGGCTTCTTTCCCTTAGCAAAACGTTTTTAGGGCTCTTGTGTGCCGTTGAGTGAGCCGAGGAGTTTGTTCCTTTTTGTGGCTCTAGTGGTCAGTCGGTGGACACTTGAGTGGTTTCTGCCTTTGGCTGTTGCAAGCCCCGGGCTGCCACAGGCAGTGAGTGGCCAAGCCGCTGGAGGAACCGCCTGTCTGTTTTCCAAATCTCCTGCATCAGTTTACGTTCCGAGGGTCCTGGTTTCTCTGCATCTTCATGAGCACTTGCTGTATTCCACTTTGTATTGCTTTGTTTTAAATAACTGTCCCAATGGAGAGCCACCCTAACAGCCCTTAACGGGTTCGTGATGCCTGCCTTCACTCTCAGGGCACTAATGGCGGTGAACCATGCCGTCGGTGTTTATGCCATGGGCTACTGATGGGAACAGAGTGTTTTCATTCATGAGGGTCCGTTTCTGGCACCATGACCCCTCTCACTCACCTCATGTTCTTAGAATCTTCGAGATCCTCAGGGCTCAGAGGAACATTTTTAAGACAGAAGCAGTGAACTCTAGAGAGGTCGTGCATTCTGCTTCAGGCCCCACTGCTGGCCAGTGGCAAAGCTGGGAGGAAAACCAGCTGTCTCTAGACCACCGCCCTGGCTGGCTTCTACCACCGCACGCCCATCACTGGACGGCTAGGAATTGTTCAAGCCCCCACCCTTTCTGCCACAGGAGGTACCAGCTGCAGCGCATCGTGAATGTGGAGAAGCGACAGGACCAGCTCCGGGGGGGCCGCTACCTCCTGGAGCTGGAACTGCTGGAACAAGGCGGGCGCCTGGTGCGGCTCTCAGAGTATGTGTCTGCACGAGGCTGGCAGGGCGTCGACCCAGTCGGTGGGGAGGAAGCCGAGGCCCGGAACCTGCAGGGCCTGATCTGGAGCCCACACAACCGTCAGGGACGGGTCCTGAACGTCCGTGCCCCGGAGCCCAAGCTGTGCTGGCCCCAGGGTTTCTCCTGGAATCACCGTGCGGTGGTCCACTTCATCGTGCCTGGTAAGCCTCAAGCTGAGCCTGGGCCCCATCAGCAGGACAGGGACAGTAATAAAAAGTCATTAGCCTGGGGCCAGCGCTGTGGCATAGCGGATAAAGCCACCGCCTGCAGTGCCAGCATCCCATATGGGCGCCAGTTCAAGTCCCAGCTGCTCTGCGTCCGATCCAGCTGCCTATTCACGTGCTTGGGAAAGCAGCAGCAGATTTTTGTGCTGGGGTCGCAGCTGTTCTGAGAAGTAAGGCAGGGCTGGTGTTGATGGAGTGAGTTGTGAAGCAGCGGTTGAGATACTGCTTGGAACACCCACATCTTGTGTCGGGGTGCCTGTGTTCAAGTCCTGGCTTTGCTTCCAACCCCAGCTTCCTGCTGGTGCATGCCCTGAGAGGCAGCTGGTGATGGCCCCAGGGTTTGGGCCCCTTTGCCACCCATGTGGGAGATTCGGAGTGAGTTCCAGGCTCCTGGCTTTGGCCTAGCCCAGCCTCGGCTGTTGCAGGCAGGAGTTGCAAGCGTGGGGTAGGGCCGGAAGTTAAGGATGACGATGAGCTGGACAGTTGGCAGCGTGTGATGGAGCATGGGGGGGCTCCCAGGAGAACTGCTGCGGCCCTGCCTTGGAGGGTTTGCGAGGAGCAGGGTGGAGAGGCCCCTCCATCCCGTGAGCTCTGCCTGCATGGCTCACAGCCCAGAGCTCCTCCTCCCATAAGCAGAAGCCAGAGGGGCCTTCGAATGCTCACCTTCGCCTTCCCTGTCTCTTTCTGCCTGTCTGGCCCCCGGGGTAGTGAAGAACCAGGCACGCTGGGTGCAGCAGTTCATTAAAGACATGGAGACACTGCTGCAGACCACCGGCGACCCGCACTTCAACGTCGTCATCACTGACTACAGCAGTGAGGACATGGATGTCGAGATGGCCCTGCAGAGGTCCAAACTGCGCAGGTGAGGGGCCCCCGCCCCCGGAGAAGCCCCCTGCCCGTAATCCTGTCCCAGGAGCCATCCTGGTGGCACGCCTGCCAGCTTCCTGCAGGTGTCGCCTCAGCTCAGTTCTAACTCTGCCCCTCTCTTCTCGTCCTGCAGCTACCAGTACATGAAGCTAACTGGAAACTTTGAGCGCTCAGCTGGACTTCAGGCTGGCATTGACCTGGTGAAGGTAGACGGCCTGCAAGGGGCTTGGGAGATGGGATGTCAGACTGTTTCAAGGGTGGGCGGTTGGCGCAGCAGTTGAGGCAGCGCTTGGTCGCCTGCATCCTGTATTAGAGGGCCTGGGTCTCGATGCTGGCTCTGCTCTCAGTTCCAGACTCCTGCTCATGCAACCCTGGGAGGCAGCAGGTGAAGGCTGCAGTGGTTCTGTTCCTGCCCCCTGATGTGGGAGGCCCAGACGGAGTTCCAGGCTCCCAGTTTCAGGCTGACACAGCCCCGTCTATTGCAGACATTTGGAGAGTGAACCAATGCATGGGAGATCTTTGTGTCTCTTTCAGTCTCTCTGCTTTTCAAATAAATTCAAACAAACAAACAAACAAGACTGAGTAAGAGGTAGGGAGACATTTGGGAGGTATACGTTAGCCAGCACCTGAGGGGGAATGAGAATGAGGGCACAGGAGGGTCCTCTCTGCACAGCTGGTGCAGGCCTGCACTGGGGGACAAAGCATGTGACAGCTGACTCTCAACCAGTGTCCTCAGGGTCCACAGTGGGAAGAGGAGTTGGAACTCACTCTGGTGGTGCGAACCGTGCTCGGATGCCCAGGCTGTGCCGATATGCACAGGGGTGAGATTTTTGTTGTTGTTGTTTTTAAAGATTTATTTGAGTTACAGAGACAGAGGGAGAGACAGAGAGACACCTTCCATCCACTGGTTCACTCTTCAAGTGGCCACAGTGTCTGGGGCCTGGCCAATCCAAAGCCTGAGGCCTGGAGGTCCATCCAGGTGTCCCACGTAGGTGCAGGGGCCCAAGCACTTGGGCCTTCTGCTGCTGCTTTACCAGGCACATTAGCAGGGAGCTGGATCAGAAGTGGAGCAGCTGGGACTTGAACCGGCATCCATATGGCGTGGCCAGTGGCCATATAGCTGGCCACGCCACCATGCTGGGCCCCGGGGGTGAGTTTTGTGGAAGCGCTGTCAGCCATTCCGGTCGGGAGAGCCTTTGGATTCTGCTAGGAGGAGGCCTGGCCTCCCCGCCCAGGTCAGAGGGTCTGCTTACCCTGCCCGCATCTGTCCCCAGGACCCTCACAGCATCGTCTTCCTCTGTGACCTCCACATCCACTTCCCAGCTGGAGTCATCGATGCCATCCGGAAGCACTGCGTGGAGGGCAAGATGGCCTTTGCTCCCATGGTGATGAGGCTGCACTGCGGCGCCACGCCCCAGTGGCCTGAGGGTGAGCCCCCCCTGCATGGGGGGTGGGGGAGTGGGGACCACCTAGCTGGACTCAGTCACAGCCATGAAGGAAGTCCACATCCTCCTCCCCTGTCCTGCTGTGGTCTCTCTCCTGGGCCACCACAGAGATGTGCTCCCAGGGCTGCCCCCACAGCACTGCAGCAGGTGCATCCGTGGACATTCCTGCCCCATATTTCCCTCCATTCATTCATCAAACATCTAGTAAGCACCTGCCGTGTGCCCATGAGGGTCCGGAGGTGGGACCTACCTTCTCTGGCTGCTGCCGTCCCGTGGATTCACAGAGCTGCTGCCCGCCTGTGGCCGCTGCCTGCTGGGACTGCTGCACCCTGCACTTAGTCAGGGGGCTTTTCCCAAACAGGCGAGGGGTATGCTCTGCGAAGACAGTGGTCAGCCCCAGCCACCCCCAGCCCTTGCCTTTGGGAAGAGACCCCGGAAGTCTCATCTGGGGCTTCCTGTCTGTTCGCAGGCTACTGGGAAGTGAACGGATTTGGACTGCTTGGCATCTACAAGTCCGACCTGGACAAGATCGGGGGCATGAACACCAAGGAGTTCCGGGACCGCTGGGGCGGGGAAGACTGGGAGCTGCTGGACAGGTGACTGGGAAAAGGGTGCACTGGGAAGGAGCCTGGGCCGCGTCGGCCTCACTGGCACCCTTGGGTGCAGGTTCTCAAGATGCAGGGAGAGAGCAGTGGGCTCCACGGAAACTCGGCCATGATGTAGCCTCACTCAGCCTGGCAGAGGGGAGTGATGCCCCCTCCCTCTGTCACAGACCCAGAGTGGATATCCCCGTGCTGGGTATACTGTCAGGGGAAAAGCACCCGCTGCTGAGTTGCATGAACATAAACTGCAATGTGCTGAGCACCAGGCAAGGTGCTGTGAGTGCATGCACTTGGCCATGACCCCCTCTGAGCCCAGCTGCCTGGGGGGGCCTGCACTTGTGGGAATGGGTAAGGGAGACACAGGTAGAGGATCAACACAAGCTGCAAGGCTCCAGTCAAAGATGACAAGACAGTGCTGGCGCTGTGGTGCAGCTGGTTACTGCCTGGGATGCCAGCAGCCCATACAAAGGCCGGTTCGAGTCCCGGCTGTTCCACTTCCAATCCAGCTCCCTACTAATGCTCCTGGAAGTGCAATGGAGGATGGCCTGAGTACTTGGGCCCCTGTACCCATGTGAGAGACCCGGATGGAGTTCCAGGCTCCTGGCTTTGGCCTGGCCAGACCTGGCTGTTGTTCATTCACTTTTGAGGAGTGAACCATCAGATGGAAGATACCTCTCTCTCCCCCCACTGCACCCCCTCACACTGCCTTTCAAATAAATAAGTAACTCTTTAAAAATGTGGCAATGAGATATCCAGGAGGCTCTGGGTCCCTGGAAGCCAAGAGGGAGAAGGTTTGGGGAGGAAGAAGCGATTTAGTCAGAGGGCCTCAGAGAAGTGCGGATGGGCAGGTGGTAAGGACAGGGTGTTGTAGCTGGGCACCAGAACGTGGGTGCTGTGTTTGTGTCAGATTGCTCTTGTAACAAGTTTGCTGCCAAGAAAAGGGAAAGAGAATGGTACCTTGAGTTTTTTTTTTTTTTTTTTTAAGGTTTATGTATGACAAGTTACAGAGAGAGGGAGAGACAGAGACAGAGAAAGTTTTTGCATGCGTTGATTCACACCCTGAATAGCTGTAATTACCAGGGCGGAGCCGGGCCCAAGCCAGGAGCTAAGAGTTTCTTCCATTCCTCCCCAAGAACTTGGGTCACTCTTCTCTGCTTTCCCAGGCATATTAGCAGGGAGCTGGATCAGAATTGGAGCAGCTGGGGCTCGAACTGGTAATGCATACGGGATGCTGGCACTGCAGGCAGTGGATTTAATGGCAGCCCTGATACCTTAAGTTTGAGCTTAAGGGGAGGAAGCAAAGGAGAAAAGGAAAAGAAAAGGACCAAGAGGCAGGTATTTGCCCACTTGGATCACCTTCATCGCCTCCTTAGAGTACGTAGACTTGAGTCCCGGCTCCGCTCCCCATTTTGACTTCCCGCTAATGCACACCCTGGGAGGCAGCAGTGATGGTTTAAGCAAAGTGGTTGAGTCTTTCCTGCCCATGTGGGAGACCTGAATGGAGTTCCTGGCTCCTGGCTTTGGCCTGCCCATTCCCAGCTGTTATTTGGGGAGTGGACCAGTAGATGAAGGATCTCTGTGTGTCTCCATCTCTATCTTTTTGCCTTTTAAATAAATAAAAATTGTCTAGAGGAGGTAGACTGGGCAAGGTTAGGAATACCTGGGGACCTTTCAGGAAGACAAACACTGCTTGCTGAGACACAGGTAGAATGTGGTCCACAGTCACAGGGCACCTGCTGTGCAGGTGTCTCCATCCCACAGTCACGGGGCACCTGGTGTGCAGGTGACTCCATCCCACAGTCATGGGGCACCTGGTGTGCAGGTGACTCCATCCCACACAGTCACGGGATACTTGGTATACAGGTGGCTCCATCCCACACAGTCACGGGGCACCTGGTGTGCAGGTGACTCCATCCTGCAGTCATGGGACACCTGGTGCACAGGTGACTCCATCCCACAGTCACGGGGCACCTGGTGTACAGGTGACTCCATCCCGCAGTCACGGGGCACCTGGTGTGCAGGTGACTCCATCCCACAGTCATGGGCACCTGGTGTACAGGTGACTCTATCCCACACAGTCACGGGATACTTGGTGTACAGGTGACTCCATCCCGCAGTCATGGGCACCTGGTGTGCAGGTGACTCTATCCCGCAGTCATGGGGCACCTGGTGCGCAGGTGAGTCCATCCCACACAGTCACAGGATACTTGGTATACAGGTGACTCCATCCCGCAGTCACAGGACACCTGGTACACAGGTGACTCCATCCCACACAGTCACAGGATACTTGGTATACAGGTGACTCCATCCCGCAATCACAGGACACCTGGTGTACAGCTGGCTCCATCCCACACAGTCACAGGATACTTGGTATACAGGTGACTTCATCCCACAGTCACCTCATGTGCAGGTGACTCCATCCCACAGTCACCTCGTGTGCAGGTGACTCCATCCCGCAATCACAGGACACCTGGTGTACAGGTGACTGCATCCCGCAGTCACGGGTCCCCTGGTGTACAGCTGACTCCATCCCACAGTCACCTCGTGTGCAGGTGACTCCATCCCGCAGTCACAGGACACCTGGTGTACAGGTGACTCCATCCCACAGTCACAGGACACCTGGTGCACAGGTGACTCCATCCCGCAGTCACGGGTCCCCTGGTGTACAGCTGACTCCATCCCGCAGTCACGGGACATCTTGTGTGCTGGTGACTCCATCCCGCAGTCACGGGATACTTGGTGTACAGGTAATTCCATCCCATAGTCACGGGACACCTGGCATGCAGGTGACTCATCCATGTCACCAGACCTCGATGAGTAGGAGTTTGTCTCCAGTTTTCAGAGGAGAAAACTGAGTCTTAAAGAAAAGTTCATAACTTGCCTCAAATGCCAGTCTCCAGCGTGTCAGAGGCTGAAAAACCATGCCTGTTTATAATTTTCACCTGGAGGGAAGAAAAGAGATGATGCAGCAAAGAGCCCCTAAGGTGAACTGGGGGGAGTTGAGGGAGTGCAGGTGACATGGCTTGGATCCCAGGATCCCATAAATCCAGGTCCCTGTGGATCCCAAGGCAGCTGGGACCATGGTGGGGAAGCCTGGCCAGTGGCTGCTTCCACACTGGATCCGTGCAGACTTCCAGTCCATTTTTTTTTCCTTTTTTTTTTTTTAAAGATATATTTATTTATTAGAAAGTCAGAGTTACACAGAGTGAGGAGAGGCAGAGAGAGAGAGAGAGAGGACTTCCATCCAATGGTTCACTCCCCACTTGGCTGCAATGGCTGGAGCTGTGCCAATCCGATGCCAGGAGCCAGGATCTTCCTCCGGGGCTTTCCCATATGGGTGCAGGGGCCCAAGGACTTGGGCCACCTTCTACTGCTTTCCCAGGCCATGGCAGAGAACTGGATCGAAAGTGGAGCATCCGGGACTTGAACTGGCGCCCATACAGGATGCCGGCACTGCAGGCGGAGGCCTTACCCATTACACCATCCAGTCCATTTCTTAACCCTCCTGCACTCTCTGGGGGCCCAAGGGAAAAGAAACTGCTTCCACTGGCAGCTGCCTGCAGCTCTTCCAGGAGCACAGGTCTTTCCTGGGAGGGGCTGTTGGCAGCTGTGCACGTGGAAAAGGGCGGGGAGGGCCTGGGGCAGGTCGCCACCAGTGTCCCCTGAGGGTAAGCTTAGTCTTGGTGTCTGTCAGGAGCTGTGCCGAACACTCGCCCCCATCACCTGCGGTATCCACCACGTTTTATACCAGGAGCTTCAGAATGTTCGTAGAAAAAGTGAATTAAGAGAGAAGTTTATTAAATGCCAAAGAATTCTGAAATCCATGCACAGCTTTTTCATAGCTCAGTTTTCCATGGACTGCGTTGTAAAGTTTATTTATTTATTTACTTGAGAGACAGAAAGACAGATCCCTCGTCTGCTGGTTCACTCCCCAGATGCCCACAGTGGCCAAGGCTTGGCCAAGGCTGGACCAAGGCTGAACCAAGAGCTTAGAAGCCAATCCATTCTCCCACATGGGTGGCAGGCACTCGATCACTTGAGCCGTAGCCTGCTGGCTCCTGGAGTCTGCATTAGTACGAGGCCACAATCGGGAGCCAGAGGCACTCTGATGTGGGATACAGGCAGTTCAACTTCTAGGCCAGACACCTGCCTTTCTATGAACATTTTTTAATTAATTTATTTGAAGGGTAGAGTTAGAGAGACGGAGAGAGGGAGAGATCTTTCATCTGCTGGTTCACTCCCCACATGGCTGCAACTGCCAGGGCTGGGCCAGGCTGTAGCCAAGAACTGGGTCTCCCGTGTGGGTGCAGGCCCCCAGCACTTGGACCATCTTCCGCTGCTTTCCCAGGCACATGAGCAGGCAGCTGGATCGCAAGTAGAGCAGCCGGGACTCGAACCACTGCTCATGTGGGATGCAGGCTCTGCAGGCAGCGGCTTCACCTGCTGCGCCACGACACTGGCCCCTCCATGAAACTTTTTGAAGACCCCTTTTATGCATGGGTATATTTTTTTTGCACTAAACGGACTTCTATTTTTATTTTAAAGGTTTATTTTATTTATTTGAAAGAGAATTACAGAGAGATAGAGACAGAGAAAGAGAGGTCTTCCATCTGCTGGTTCACTCCCCAGATGGCTGCAATGGCTGGAGCTGCGCCGATCAGGAGCCAGGAGCTTCTTCTGGGTCTCCCATGTGGGTGCAGGGGCCCAAGCACCTGGGCCATCCTCCACTGCCCTCCCGGGCCACAGCAGAGAACTGGACTGGAAGAGGAGCAGCCGGAACTAGAACCGGTGCCCACATGGGATGCTGGCGCCCCAGGCCAGGGCTTTAACCCACTGCGCCACAGCACCGGCCCCCTAGACTTCTATTTTAATTGTTTCCCATGAGCTTTGTGAGGCTCCCTCGTGCTCCTGCACCTGTCGTAGTATCCTCTCTCTGGGGGGAAGCAGACAGGCTCTGACAGATGTCCCCACTCAGCTGTCACGGAGCTGGGACCCAAGCCTAGCTGTGTGGCCCCTTCCCACAGCAGCCTGCTTTCTCTGCCGCATGGGCAGTAACAGGGAGGGGGACAGGGACAGGGTCTGAGTGGGCACGAAGGGCTCCTCCCCCGCGCCTCTTGGGCCGCTCCCGGCTCATCCCGCTCCTCCTTCCTTCAGGATCCTCCAAGCTGGCCTGGAAGTGGAGCGACTTTCCCTCAGGAATTTCTTCCACCACTTCCACTCCAAGCGGGGCATGTGGAACCGCCGGCAGATGAAGATGCCGTGAGGCCGGGTGTGGCCCACGGACCCAACACTTCCTGCCCCTGGCCTTGAGGTTGCTCCCCAGGGCCCCTGCTGGCCACCGCAGGAGGGTGCACAAGGCGGGCAGAAGCCATGGCTGGACCCTCAGAGGCCTCCCAGGGCCAGGCGCTGAGGCTCCTGTCCCCGCCCCTGGGGCTGCAGAAGGGAGGACTTTGGAGAGAGGCCAGAGGGGCGCTTGCTCTGTACCAGAGTTCCTGAGAAGGCCAGGATGCTCAGGCCAGGAAGGAGACACCTGCCCAAGCCCCCCCACCCCCCACCCCACCAGCTGCTCCTCGAGGTGCAGCCTCACGTGCAGCGGGGCCCCTCCTATGGAGTGCTGACTGGGACCTGGAAGCTTCTACTGGACATATTTTATGTGGGGGGAGGGCTGTATTTTTGTTTTTCACCAGAGAACCAAACTGCTGTGTAGAGCCAGCCTTGACCGTGAGAGGGGCTGGAGTGGGTGTGCCCCCCCACCCCACCCCGCACACGTGTGTCCCTCTCTGGGGCTGGCTGTGTGGGAGACAGTCCTCAGCTCTTGCCCAGGCTCGTGCCTTCCAGAGACGCACAGCTCTCCCAGGAGCCACCAGGCAGCTGCCCCTTCCCCTCTGAGCGGCTTGGGGGCAGGGCTCTGCCCTTCCCCCACTGGGGCAAGGTGAACAGGAGGGGAATGAGGGCATTGGTGAAATCTGTGGGCTCCCCTTGGGTGAGAGGGTGAGAAGGGAAGAGGAAACTCAGTCTTCCCAACCCTGCACCTCCTGCCTTGGGTAAGAGGGAGCGGGCGAGAGGTCTGGGACGCTGAGGAAGAGAATGGGACGGGGCAGTTTCCGGGGAGATGGCCTTGGCTTTCTCCGTCCCGGGGAACCGGATGATCACGCACATGTGTCGCCCCAGTGGTCCCCGGCTGCTCCAGTGGCTGGGGTCGCTGCCGCCGCCGCCGCTGCTGCTACTGCTGCTGCCGCCTCCGACGGGTGCACCAGGGGTGCATCAGACGTGGGCCCTTGCACACCAGTCTCTTAGAGGGAGGTGGGCCCGGGGCTGCAGGCTGTGGAGAAGGCTGATGATGGGAGGTGAAGCCACATAACCCAGCGCAGGCTCCCCGTGGGACAGTGTTGTGGCTGCTGGTCCACCTGGTGGGCCTTGCGTTCACCGAGAGCGAGAGCGTGGGCTCGGTGTAGTGGAGGGAGGACTCCCACAGACCCTGCTTCCCTGGATGGAGCCAGGAAGGATGAAGGCTTTTCCAAGAACTGGCCGTGCCCACCCCCTGTCCTGCTGCCCGCTCAGGCCTCCAGCCCTCTGGGCTCACAGGGAACTGACCGCGGCTGCACAAGTCTTGCTGCCGTGTCAGGTTTCTTCCTGGGCCTCCCGCTTTCTAGAACGTTGCCTTGGAAGGCCTGGAGCGGCCCCGCCCCCCGCCTCATGCCTAACTCAGGAGCCAGGAGCCAGCCCCAGCCACCCGGCCCCGCCCTCACGGCCAGTCCCCAGGCCAGTGCCTTGCGTTTGCAGTGTCTTACCTCCACACCGTCTGCCTTAAGGGGGAGGGCCTGCTGTGGCCCTTACCTGGAGGGAAATGTCTTGGGGGTTGGGGGGAGGGAGTGGGATGGTGGGGGCGAGCATTAAATACAGCATCTTCTTAGGAAAAAGCCGGTTCTTGTGTTTTCCTGTTGCCCATCCGCCGTGGGAGAGGGGTGACTGCGGAGCGAGCCTGTCTCTGTCCCTGTCTGATGGAGGTGCCGGAGCCCCTCCCACACCCCCTGCACCCTCACCTCTGCTCTGGTGTGTGAGGTCGGAGCTGGGGTTTGCTCAGGATGGGGGTGGAGGGGCCCAGGCACCCTCTCTCCCGCAGGGTCCTGGAGGTTGGTGGTTCCCGTTGTAAGGGGGAGTGGGCAGGCTGGGTGACGGAGGGAGGCGGGGCTGGTTGGAGAGCAGCAAGGAGGGCGAGGGGTTGCTTGTTCTAAGGCAGCAGCAGTCTCAGGTACCGTCCTCCACTGGGGCTCCCTGTGGGTGCTGCAGGGGGCAGCTCTGCCTTCCTGGTTGTACTTGGCCTAGGCAAAACCCAGGTGCTTTGTGCTCCCTAAACATACATGTAAGAGCCTGCTCGTGTGCGAGCTAGGTGTACAGTAGGTTCTTGAACAGGACAAAGATGGGCTCCAGGGTGGGCATTTGGCCTGGTGGTTAAGATACCAGTTAGGTTGCCGGTGCCGTGGCTCACTGGGCTAATCCTCCGCCTGCAGCGCCGGCACACCAGGTTCTAGTCCCGGTCGGGGCGCCGGATTCTGTCCCGGTTGCCCCTCTTCCAGGCCAGCTCTCTGCTGTGGCCCGGGAGTGCAGTGGAGGATGGCCCAAGTGCTTGGGCCCTGCACCCCATAGGAGACCAGGATAAGTACCTGGCTCCTGCCATTGGATCAGCGCAGTGTGCCGGCCGCAGCGCACCGGCCGCGGCGGCCATTGGAGGGTGAACCAACGGCAAAGGAAGACCTTTCTCTCTGTCTCTCTCTCTCTCTCACTGTCCACTCTGCCTGTCCAAAAAAAAAAAAAAAATACCAGTTAGGACACTCATGTGCCACATCAGAGTACCTGGGTTCGAGTCCCAGCTCCAGCTTCCTGCTAACCTGGACCCTAGAAGACAGCCAGCGATGGCTCACATACTTGGGTTCTTGCCCCCAAGAACCTGGATTGAGTTCCCGGCTCCTGGCATTGGCATTTGGGAGTGAACCAGTGGATGGAAGTGTTCTTGCTCACTCTCCTCTGCCTTCTCTAGCTATCCAAAAAAAAAAAAAAAAAAAAAAAAGATTGACTTAGAGTGGATTTGCAGAAACTTTTATAGATAGAAATCATTCCATTTTACAGAAAGGGAAACTGAGGCCTGGGGCAGCGGAAAGCAACGGGGCGAAGTCAGAAGCGTAGTCCCTAGGCTGGGTGGAGCCGGGCTGTGCAGACGCGCCTCACATGCTGGAGGTGCCACCCACGACGGGAAAGGCCGGCAGTACCCAGGGCTGAGCTCGGAACTCCAGCCCAGTGAGGCAGTACGTCTTAATTCCGGCTCGTGTGGTTGGGAGCGAGGACAGCTACACTGCCACGAAGGGAGCTCTCCCAGGGGCAGTGGAGAGCGCCCACCCCCCTGGCAGCAGGGAGAGGAAGGAAGCGGAACAGCTGCAGACCCAGTACCTGCGGAGGAGGCAGAGACGGCGTGAAGGCGGGGGCGGCCGCAAGTCGGACTTGCACATGCGCACACTGTGCTGCCAGCTGTTCAGATGCAGGTGTTGAGACTGCCTTTCTGGGAGGCCCCCAGCGGCTTTGCTGCTGTTGCTGGCTCTTGGCCCATTATCTGAGCAGCAGGGATTTCTCCATAGCGCGAGGAGAAATCCGGCATCTCCGGCCTTTGCTCCCCCACCACCCGCCCCCGCGGGGGGCCCGCAGCCTGAGCAGGGCCTCACAGAGCCCCAGCCCCAGGTCTTACAGATACCCTGGCCCCCAGCGCTATAGGCTTCGGCCTTTTGCCTTGCAGGGCTATGTCTCCCAACCCAACCTCCAGAGCTGAGAGAAGGGCCGGCCGCCTGGGGGCGCCCCTGACCCCGGCTACCTTTCGGCCTTCTCCCTCACCCAGGTCCCTGCTGTGTTCACAGAGGGTTCCTTGAGGCCCTGACAGCCAGGAACCCCGTCTGATGCGCTCCGAAGGCTGTGATGAAGACGTTGATGACGACGGTGAGGAAGATGAAGGTGGTGGCCACGTTGTTGAGCTGGTTTAGCCGCCCCTGCTTCTCTACCTCATTCAGGTTCAGCCGTGCTGTGGGGGAGCCAGGAGTGGGAGGAGGACAGTGTCAGAGCAGAGGCGGTGGCCTGGAGCTGCCCCACCGCATCCCCTGGAGTGTAGAGGAAGCCTGGCGTCCCAGAAACCACGTGGTCTGTGGATCAGGGAGGTGGCAATGCTCACTGGGCGGGGGTGCCCATGGCCCTCACTGACAGGTGCTCGGGGCTTCGTAGAATCGGGATTCAGTGGAGATAGGAGCTTCCCAAAAGGCTGTCGAGACCTGTGCTGCACATTAGTGGGACAGGCTCTCAGCCAGTCCTGGGGGTCTGCCCCGGGATTCCTACAGACAGGACAGGGTGCCTGCCCTCACTCCCCAAAGTTCTCATTTGGACATTTGCAGGCACAGGGGCTGACGCCAGGCTAGGGTATGGCTGAGCAGCCGCGTGCACAGGGGCACGGGTTGACAGGGAAGCACCTGCCACAGTACGCCTCCTCACCCATGAGCACCAGGAGGATCCCGATGACCAGCTGCAGGAGCAGGGACGCGCTGATGAGGCTGACCAGGGTGGTGTAGTAATGGGAGGACGGCCCCTGCTCGAGCACCGCCTTCAGCCGCAGGGCGTTGGACATGAAGAGGGCCACGTCCAGCATGCTCTCTGCCACACTCTTCTTGGTGGTGTAATGGTTCAGGTTGATGGGCTGGTTCCTTCTTGGGCTGGAGTGCCCGGGCTGTAAGGGAGAAAGCAGGCTCCCTGAGGAGGCTCCAGAGGAACGCACTTAAGAGACTGGAGACAGGAGAGAGGCTTGATAGCGAGGCTGAAGGTGATCAGGAGCTGAGAATGATGGTGAGAAAAAATTGCAAGGCGGGGGGGGGGCTGGCGCTGTGGCACAGGAGGTTAATCCTCTGCCTGTGGTGCCGGCATCCCATGTGGGTGCCGGTTCTAGTCCCAGCTGCTCCTCTTCTGTTCCAGCATCTCTGCTATGGCCTGAGAAAGCAGTAGAAGATGGCCCGAGTCCTTGGGCCCCTGTGCCCACGTGGGAGACCTGGGGGAAGCTCCTGACTCCTGGCTTCGCATTGGCCCAGCTCCGGCTGTCGCCCCCATTTGGGGAGTGAACAGAGGGTGGAAGACCTCTCTGTCTCTCCCTCTCACTGTCTGTAACTCTACCTGTCAAATATAAAATAAAAATATTTTAGGCCGGCGCCACGGCTCACTAGGCTAATCCTCCGCCTGTGGCGCTGGCACCCCGGGTTCTAGTCCCGGTTGGGGCACTGGATTCTGTCCTGGTTGCTCCTCTGCCAGGCTAGCTCTCTGCTGTGGCCCGGGAAGGCAGTGGAGGATGGCCCAAGTGCTTGGGCCCTGCACCCACATGGCAGACCAGGAGGAAGCACCTGGCTCCTGGCTTCGGATCGGCACAGCGCACCAGCCACAACACGCCGGCCGTAGCGGCCACTTGGGGGGTGAACCAACGGAAGGAAGACCTTTCTCTCTGTCTGTCTCTCTCACTGTCTAACTCTGCCTATCAAAAAATAAATAAATAAATAAAAATTTTTTAAATAAAAGAATGGAAGGAGGATTTTGGAAGATGTTTTAGCCTGATGGTAGGGAGGCTGAGCCAAAAGATCACAATAGGATAGATATCTGTTGAGTGGATGGTTAAATGGATGATGGATTGGTGGATGGGGAATGGAGGGATGGATAGATGGGTGGATGGAGGGATGGATGGATGGACAGGCAGACAGGTGATGGATGGTTGGACAGACAGGAAGATGGATGGATGGATGGATGGATGGACTAGTGCATAAATGGATGGGGTGGGAGGATGGGTTGGTAGATGGGCAGATATCAGAGGGTCTGGATACTTCTTGTACTCAGTGTGACCCCAGCATGCCACTTCACTTGGATAATTACACAGAGGCCAGCCGAGAGTGGAGAGAAGCCTATCTGGATAGCACCTTTGGACTCCAAAGATCCTTAAGATGTCTTGAAATGCAGTTGTTGCCAAAATTTCTTGTTAGTATAATCCCAGCATTAAAAACCATCTTTGGTAATGCATTCATACTACTTGAGGGTACTTCAAAAGGATTGTGGGAAAATATAATTAAAATACAAGTTTATTTTGGGGTAAAAATTTTGGAAATCTATTGTGGTGGAATGAGAAGGTGAGAAGGTCATGCCAAGATGGCCGCTAACAACAGAAACTGCATGGCAACAGGCCATGATTGGATGGTTTCGGAAACTGCCTGGCAACAGAGCCTGACTGGCAACAGGCTGTGATTGGATGGCTTTGGAAACTGCCTGGCAACAGTCTGTGACTGGTTAGGGCATAGACCACCCCTTGACCAGATTGGCTGCCTTGGCTATATAAGCAGCTGCAGCAACTGAAATAAACGAGTCTGCGGGCTGCTTGCCTCAAGCCTGCTTTCACCCGACTCCCGGGGTCTGTGTGGTGACTCCACGCCTCTTGCCCCCACCACGCTCTTCCTCTCAGGAACAAATCCACAGTAACATCCTATGAGGAGTTTTTTTTACAAAAATTGATTTTCCATGAACTTTTTGAAGACCTTTCATCTGTACATCCTTTCATTACACATCAGGGAAGTAAAGCCTCCACCTGTGCCCATCCCATAGGGGCACTGGTTCAAGTCCTGGCTGCTCCACTTCCGATCCAGCTCCCTGCTGATGTACTTGGGAAAGCACAGGTGCTTGGGCTTCTGCACCCATGTGGGAGACCTAGAAGAAGCCCTGGCTCCTGGCTTCGGCCTGGCCCAGCCCCAGCCGTAGTGGCCATTTGGGGAGTGAACCAGCAGATGGAAGATCTGTCTCTCTCTGTTTTCTCCTCTCTCTGTGTAACTCTGACTTTCAAATAAATAAATAAATATTTTAAAAAATCATGAACATATTTCACTGGACTAATACATATCATAAAATATACAAAAGAAACTTTGAGATTACATAAAAATTAACATATATACAAGTTTAATTTTCTTATCATATCGCAAAAGCCAATCTTGCGGACCCCTCATTGGAGACCTCTGCTGGGCCAACAGCAGGGGTGTCTGCCCCTGGCCCTTCGAAGCTCAGCCTGAAGTCTCCACCGACCTCAGCAGCATTCCCAGGCTCCAGGGTCAAGCCTGAGCTGCGTGTGGGGCGCAGACTCAGCCTGGGCATCCCTCGGCCCAACGCAGGGCAGGTCCCCGCACGTGACCTGGTCATTATCAGCATTTCATGGGAACCCCCTTTCTGGGCAGGGTAGGACTCATTGAGCCTGGGGGTACATGGGACTGGGAGACCGCAGGGAACCCCTTGTGTGACAGGCTGTGCATCCATGTCCCGCGGTGCCTGTGCTGTGAGTGCCACCCGCCCATTCTGCCCCTCCCCCAGGTCGCTGGTTGGCACTGACCCGTCTGGTGGGTAGTCACTCACACCAGGCTCTGTCCAGATACAGCTGTGGCCCCAGCCTCCCTGCCCCTGATGCACCCCACAGCCATCAGCGTGTCCAGTGGTCACCAGCTTGGCACTGTCTCCCCCCGCCAGATGGGCTCTCAGTTCAAATCTGACAAACCCGTCTCGCCCGGAGGAGGCTCCTTCTCCAAGGAGCTGCATGTCAGTGGCCAGCAGATCCCGGGCCTCCAGGGCTTTGATCTGAGTGCTGAATGGCAGGGCCAGAGGCGGGTGGGGGCCTTGGGGCTGTGGCAGTCTTCCTGGGGGGCTGAGAGTGGGTTCCGGCAGAGCTGGGTGGGGCTCGGAGCTACATTCTCACAGAGGATGCAGGATTCACAGCGGCCTTCGGAGGCGGAGGCGCAGGCCTCCGCCTCTCCTCCCTGAATGTGGGGCCTGCTCTGGGCTCCAGTTTTGCTGGATGTCAATTCAGGGCTGCTTTGAGCTGAGCCCGCCCTTTCAGGGCCTGCATTGGGTGGGTGGCATAGGCTAGGTCTCCTGGAGGTGTCACTTCTCCCAGTGTCCACATGGTGGCATGCGGGGCCCAGAGATGTGCCCTGGGCACTGGCTGCCAGCTGGAGTTTCTCCACCAGGAATCCACGCCCAGGGCAGGATGGGAAGCAGCCTGGACTGCCTGGAGGCCCCGGGCCGGGAGCTTGGTGCACAGGCCTGGAGCGGTCCACCTGGGATCCACCAAGCGCGTGTGCCTTATGAGAGGCCAACGCTGAAGTGAGGCCCAGTGCGGTGGGGTGAGGTGGTGGTTAGGAGGGAGCCCGCTTCAAGGCCCTGGCCGGAGTGCCTTGGAAAGGGTCACTGGGTAGTAGCTTCTGTAAAAGCAAGGACAGAGTTTTCTTAATCCTGCTGGGCCAGTTTAGGTGCAGCCCGCTCAGAGGCAGAGGGATGACTTAAATGGCCTAGTGCCCCTCCCTGATAGCCTGAGGACTGGATTAGATCAACCCTGAAATCCTGTAGGATGCCATCCTCCTTACCCACAGCCCCGAGACTGGGGGCAACGCAGTGGGGGTGGGCAAGGTAGCCTTTGCTCCCGCCTCAGAGGAGCTGGCCCTTTAAGGCCAGGCCCAGGCACGTCAGGCACAAAGGCCCGGGAATGTGGGCTGGGCCGCAGCCGCAGTCTGAGTCATTCCGGGCCTGGGATCTGGGCTCTCCCTCTCCAGCTCTCCGGCCCTCCCTGGGCTGCCTGCGCGCCCACCTCTGACCCCAGCCCCTGCCAGCCCGCAGTCCCTCTCAGCACAGGGGTCGGGGGGCCGCGGTCTGGTCCCCACGGCTGTGAAGCAGAGGAAGAGCAGGTCTCTGGGGGAGCAGAAGCTCTGGGGCCGCTAAATGACACTTTGTTCCTCCCCTCCGGGAAGGAGCCACGCGGAGCTCTCCCCAGCCTGAGTCACTCTCAAAGGCCCTCTGTGTCCCGGTGGCTCCACTTGACCTTCGACCTTCACGCAAGACCCCCCAGGGACGCCCTGAGGAAAGGCACCCTTGCACCCGCTGCCAACCAGTGCTGCTTCGGGGGCTCTGAAGATGGCGCAGGGGTGGGGCGTGGGGGGCCGGCGGCCGTGGGTTTGATGCTGCGGCTGTGGACACCACAGGCCCACTCCAGCAGTTTCCCAGCTTCCCCCAGCACCACCCCGTCCCTCCCTCTTTCTCACCCCTCCCCACCCCCACCCAGGCCCTCTTGCTGAGTGGCAGCTCCCACTCAGGGACAGCCTCTGTCCCTGGAAGTCCCCATGGCTCCATTGTTCCACCGGCGATCGTAGACCCCCTTAAACTTTGCTGGCCTATGTTTTTGTCTCTTTATGAAACTGAACTTGGGTCAGAGAGGAAGGAATGTTCCCCAACAGGAGGGCAAACTCATTTGCACACTGTGTTGACACTAACGGTCAGTGGGGACTGTCCGTCTTCCCTGGAAACACGGCACAGGGCTGTGCTCCCAGAAGGTCCTGGGGGCGGGGCAACCTCGGAGGCCTATTAACTGTCCACCACTCAGTGCACTTGGGACCCAGAGCCGTGGCGGGCGCGACAGTGAGGGGCTGAGTGGTGAGCACTGGTGGCAGCCTGGCCCCAGGTGCAAAACCCTGGCTCTGTTCCCAGTGGCAGGTGGTGAGCAGTGCCCCTCACTGGGCTCCTTTTATTACCTGTGAGATCCAGCAGGTACAGACAGAGGGATCTGGGAGTGGGGACCCCTGATCCCAGGCTGAAGGGAGGGGCTAGAGGCTGAGGGTGAGCCCTCCCAGAGGCGGAGCTCGGGAACTGTGGGGCCAGGCCTGGGGGCAGAGGCAGTGAGTCACTGGGCAGGCAGCTCACCTGCACAGGTGACCCTCAGTGAGTCATCCCTGGGAGAGCCGCATGAGAGCCTTCCTGGTGTCTGCTCCAACTTGGGGCGGCAACCAAGGTAGGCCGGAGCGGCAGTGGCTGTGGCCCTTCCACTGGCTCAGGAGGGCCGAGCCCCCGGGACAGCCAGGCCTCACCAGAGCAAGAGATGGGGCCAGCTGATAGCCCAGAGGGAAAGGGCGGGAACCGGCCCGGGAGTGATTTCCTCCAATGAATGGATTTGGGTGACCCACTCTGCCAGTGGCTTTTAATTAGGTGTCCAAGGTCTTTACCCCTGTCAGAGACCAGCGGGGAGGGGGGCCTGGGCATGTCCCACTGTGCACGGGAGCAGGTTCTCAACGCACTGGAATGAAGTCGCTCCCGCTATGGAGTGCATGCCTTGTCATCTACGTCGTCCTCACAGGAGCTCTGAGAAGTAGGCAAGGGCAAGGTTATTGCCATTGAGGAACAGGAGGCACAGAGAGACTAAGTGACTGTCCAAGATCTCAGAGCACAGGCTGTGGCCCAATTCTGTAGGTGTCAGAGCCCGTTGTTTGAAAAAATTGTTTGAGAGAGAGAAATAGGAAGATGACAGATAGATGATAGACTGAAAATAGATACGGAGCTTCCATTAGCTGATTCACTCTCCAAACGCCCAAAACAGCTAGACCTGGGCCAGGGCCAAAGGCAGAGCTGGGAACTCAATCCACATCTCCCAGGTGGGTGGCAGGAGCTCAGTTTCTCAAGCCATCACCACTGCCTCCCAGGGCCTGCGTTAGCAGGAAGCTGGAGTCGGGAAGAAAACCCAGGCACCGCAAGGTGGGACTCGGGCATCTCAGCCACCAGGCGCATCTCCTGCCCCAGCCCGGGGTTTTAACCCCTTCTGCAAGACCTCCAAGCAGCTGAAGACCAATTCTCTACCACCCAAGAGTTTAGGATCTGAAGGTAAACCTCCATGCCTTGTGATGAAAGAAGACCATGGGACAGTGCCACACAGGTGCCTGTGCCCACTTGCCAGGAGGTGAGTGATGCAGGTCCCAGGGGGGCCTGACTGCAGTGGGGCTGTGAACCCTGAGCCCTTGTACTGCTGTGGCAGAAAGGCTGTGAGATCCGAAGGTAAAAGGCATGGGTTCCAACAGGTACGAAGGGAAGGAAGTAGCTGGAAGAATAAGGTTGAACAAGGGGCTTCTGTCTGTTACCTTTTGAATTTTGAACCAGGTGTATGTTTGAACGATCTAAAAAATTAATTGGAGGGGCCAGATTTGTGGCATAACGGGTTAAGGGGCCGCCTTCAACACCAGCATCCCATGTGGGTGGCCGGTTCGAATCTAGACTGCTCCACTTCTGATCCAGCTCCCTGCTAATGCACCGGGGAGAGCAGTGGAAGATGGCTCAAGTCCTTGAGCCCTTGCACCTGTGTGGGAGACCTGGGTGAAACTTCTGACTTCCGCCTGGCCAGCCCTGGCTGTTGCGGCCATTTGGGGAATGAACAAGTGAATGGAAGACTTCTCTATCTCTCTGGAACTCTTTCAAATAAATAAAAATCTATCTTAAATTAATTAATTAATTAATTTGAAAGAAAAAAGTACATGCCTGAATTTATAATTTTCTCACGCAGACCATAGCTTCTCCACCTGTGCCATGGGAGCGGCTTCCGCCCTGTCTGGCACAGAGCGTTGTTAGAAAGAGCACTGAGGTCACGGGTGACTGAGCTTTGAGAACTGCCAAGAGACAGACAGGTGTGGGGTGACGGAGAAACCTCTGGCACTCAGAGCACACTCCCACCTGCGGGCCTGCAGGCGCTTGAAATAACGTTGTCACTCGGGGCTTTTCCTGGCCCAAATTTTGAGGCAGGCACCATTTATCTTCTCAGCAAGCTGCAAGTTGATTTTTTTTTTTTTTGCCATTTTTTTGAGAGGTAGAGAGGTGGACCCACAGGAAAAGCTCACACAGAAAAAAGCTCCCAATCTGCTGGTTCACTCTCCAAACACCTGCAATTGTCTGGCCTGGGCTGAGCCAGGCTGAAGCCAGGAACCAGGAGCTCAATCCAGGCACCCCCACCCTCACCCCCAGGCGTGGGTAGCAAGGACCAAATGATGGGAGCCATCACCTGCTGCCTCCCAGGGTCTAC